TAATAAAAATGGAAAAGTAGCATAATGTGAATGTAGAAAGCTAAAAGGACCGTCCTTGTTAATCGTTATAAAGAAACAGAGGTTATCAATGAAAGTAACCTGTTGGTTGAAATATGTAGAATCTTAGGTTGCTATAAAGTCTGCTAGTCTATACCTATGATAAGTCAAGGGGTAACTTTTGTCATGCTTTTCCAAGTCTGCAATATTCAAATTTCATCAACGTTGCCACTGTTTGCAGGAACGATTTGTTAAACGGAGACAGCACCTTGTGGGCCCAAATTCTTCTACTTTAAAGGTATTTATAGTTGAATTTGTCATTTTATTAGTCTATTTAAAACCCTGTGCCAGCCCGAACCTCGTCTATACTACCAAAAAAGAAGGGGAGAAAAAAAATTAGAACTGCAGGTGATGTTTGAGTATCATTCCTCTGACATGCAATGCTGTTAGATATTTGTTGAATTCTCTTTTAACTGGCTTATTTTCCATTTGGATGTAGGCGCTTGAAATATTGACAGGCTGCTATATCCTTGTTCAGGTAATTGTTACTGTTCTTTTAAATTTGATGTTAAAATGAAAATTCTTTTTGATGGTATGACTGAAGTAGACAACCAATTTGTGATTGAATAGGGAAACACGGTTGCTGCTATGGGTTCATTTAAAGGTTTGAAGCAAGTCAGGAAGATTGTGGAAGATTGTATACAGAATAAAATGCATCCTGTATACCATATCAAGGTGTGCTTGGGTGGTGTTATTTGTTTCTAATATAATTGTTGTTCTCTTTTAATAGTTTGAAAATTTAGTTGCTTATCTTTTGACATTGGAATCTGTTAATGTTATGTCTCTGACTCACTCTTTCCCCACTCTTTGCGGAAACATGTAGATTCTCATGATGAAGAAAGAACTCGAAAAAGATCCAACCCTTGCAAATGAAACTTGGGATAGGTTTCTTCCAAAGTTTAAAAAGTATGATATATCTTTTTAATGCATCTTATACTGTTTGATGTTTCTAATTTTTCATCATTGAAATTTAACATGGATAACTTTTTCAGGAAAAATGTCAAGCAAAAGAAGGTCAAGAGTAAAGAGAAGAAACCGTACACACCCTTCCCTCCTCCTCCACAACCTAGTAAGGTGAGACGACTGTTCTTCCACAATATTACCAATGTGTTCCCGTTAGGAATAAGTGGTGGTTTTTTTTCTTCTCTTTGACTTCCACTTTTTGTTGTATCTCACTATTTTTTTTTTCCGTAAAATTTTCGTATAAGTTCACAATCTGGGGCAAAAATAGTTTTAGAATGAAATTATTTCTTCAACCTCAAGGTTGCTTTTATGTATTTGTCCATTGCTCTGTGAATGGAGACACCAGCTTTCTTATTATGGTTCTTTCTTTTAAACTAGGCATTTATGGAAGTTATTGTATTGAGCTTGAGTGCATGTGTCTAATTGGATGCATATGTTGTTCCTTGCATATATTTAAACCCTGCAGTGTCATTGTTTTGTCACTTTCTTTTAGTCAATTTGTTTCGCTTTAAAAATACATTCCTATACATTGTTGAACTATTTTCTGTTGTATTTGCAGGTTGACAAACTACTGGAATCTGGAGAATACTTTCTTAGTGAGAGAAAGAAAGAATCAAAGAAGTGGCAAGAGAAACAGGAGAAGCAAGCAGAAAAAACAGCTGAAAATAAAAGAAAAAGAGAAGCTGCATTCATTCCTCCTGAGGTATTCTAAGGCTCTTTCAGTCTGTTTTCTCCTTATCTGAAGAACTTCTGTGCCCCTCTCTCTCTCTCTCCCTTTCTTTATTTTTTCACTATAACCTATAATTTCTTCTTTTGCATTTTGCTATTTTCAGGAAACCTCAAAGCAGGATTCTCGTAATCATGAGGATCAGAACAAAGATGTTGCTGCTATGGCCATGTCACTGAAGGTAAATAATCAGAAATTATTTAACATTAGGTACATCTTTATGTATGTGTATGCTGGAGCATTTGTTAAATATCATGAGTAATGAGGCAAACCTCCACAATTCACCCTTCATCGGGCAAAGTGGATATGTATTTATGTTTACTTCTATTTGCATGTATGTCACAAGTTGTTTGATTTGCAGGAGAAGGCGAAGAAGTTGAAAAAGCAGAAGTATGCTGAGAATATCAATGCTGAAGAATATATTGCAGCATCTGGAGAAGAATCGTCAAAAAGAAAGAAGAAATCGAAACATTCTTAATCTAGATTAGGCACAATGATGATCTGATGATAGTGTATGGGATTAGAGTTTCTGAAGTTAATTTTCTTCAGTTGTATGCCATGTTTCTTATTTGTCTGGGAATGGTCTCACTGCTCTAGAAAATCTGTAATTTTATCTGATTCAGGGGATTATGAGTCTCTATTTTGGTGTTTAAGACTACAAATCTAATGTCCAGTGTAATCGTAGTTGATTTTACATTGTTTATTTGGTGAAACCAGATAAACTAGAGAGATGAATTGTTGATTTAAGCGAAAGAAGTATTGTTTTGAACTTTTCCAAGAGGTAGAGAAAGGAAATTGAGGAAAATTTTTGATCAAAAAATTGAACGGTTGTTTGTGACTGTAGTGTCATGACTTTAAAGCAAGGGTGAATCTCATTTCCACCCCTTATCTATGGTTTTTAGAAGCTAATAGTATGACCCTTAAGAAACTAATAGTATGACCCTTAGTGTAGTCTCTGTCCATCTTTATCATATTTATCAACTATGACCATTTTTTACATTTGTTATTCATTATCCAAAGAATTAAAGGTTTAATAAAAGTTTATAAAAAGTCTCAAATTAATTAAATTTTTTTAACTATAGTAGTACACGCATAATTAAATTAAATTGACTTAACACAGAATCGATATTTGATTTCTTTTTTACGAAAGGACAGTAATTTAAGAAAAATAATTACATCATAATTCAAGAGTTGTTACCGGTTAAACAAAGGGTTTATGTCTAAATAATGGAGAAAACTAATTTGATGGAAGGAAGCAAGAGAATNGATGCTTTGTGACCACCACCCGGTTAGTTGTTAGATAAGTGGGTTGATGCTTTGTGATCATCATCCAACATTTAGTAAAAGTGGGTTGATGCTTTGTGATCATCACCCGACAGCGACTAGAGACGGGTTAATGCTTGGTGATCGTTACCCAAAAGTCATGAGAAACGGGTAGGTGCTAAGTGGTCTCCACCCGATAGTTAGGAAAACCGAGTAGGTGCTTTGTGATCCCCACTCGGTAGCCACTAAGAACGGGTTGGTACTGTGTGAATTTCACCCGATAGTCATGGAGAGTGAGATGGTGCTGTATGAACGCCATCCGGCCGTACCTCCGGTAATATGAGGCCATGATGTTTAGTAGAAACAGATATAGAAATAGAAATAGTATAAGGAAAGAATTACGAGTGATACATACGGGGACAGACAAATAGAGGGTTTTACTTACTGAGCATTATTTTGTGCTCATCCCGTTATTTTCCTTTGTGGATGCAGGATCTAGGTGTTGATGCAGTCGGAGGGGCGTCGGCAAGCGAGGAGCAATAGCTACACTGTTTCCCCTGTTTTGTCTTTTAAAATGAATTTTTGTAAACAGTACTCTTTGTGTATAAAAGACATGTGAATTGAAATGAAAAGAAAACTTTGGGCCCAATTTTCTATTGCTATTATGCATGCATTATACTAGTTTTCAGTAGTTGTTACAGACAGATAGAGGGTTTTACTTACTGAGCATTATTTTGTGCTCACCCCGTTATTTTTTCTTTGTGGATGCATGATCTAGGTGTTGATGCAGTCGGAGGGGCGTCGGCAAGCGAGGAGCGATAGCTACACTGTTTTCCCTGTTTTGTCTTTTAAAAATGAAATTTTTGTAAACAATACTCTTTGTGTATAAAAGACATATGGCATATAATGAAAAGAAAGTTTTTGGGCCCAATTTTCTATTGTTTTTATGCATGCATTGTATTAATTTTCAGTAGTTGTTACAAGTGAACTTGCCTCTAGCAAGCACCCATGAGTTGCACCAGGTTGTCGGTAAATGACCTTGACAACTGAGATCAGTTACTACCATTCGACAGGGTCGTTCAACACTATGATAGTCTTATCGTATTATCTGTCTCCTTGGTCAGAATAATACTGGGGCTACGGACGTTTCTAGAATGGTTACCATATGTGATCATAGGGTTCTCATTATCAAGATTTGAAACACTTGATACTCTGGTCATGGTTCTACCATCCTAAGGACATATATCATTATATATAAATACGATTTACAAGATATAGAAGAATATGCCTTTTTATTGATAAATAAACATTTATTACAGAGTCAATTTTACAATAATTGATTGGCTCTAGGGCACCTACTCTAACAATCTCCCACTTGCACTATAGCCAATCATTCATGTATTTAATCCTGAATGATCTTAAGTGTTTTTCATGCTTCTGTTGTGATAGAGGCTTCGTCAGTGGATCGGCGAGATTGTCATCAGTATGCACTTTACTGATCTGTACATCTTTCCTCTCAACCATTTCTCTGATGAGATGAAAACGTCTGAGGATGTGTCTAGACTTCTAGTGAGACCATGGTTCCTTTGCTTGAGCTATTGCTCCATTGTTGTCGCAATAGACATCCATTGGATCAACAATCGTAGAGACCACACCAAGTTCAGTGACAAACTTCTTAATCCAGACTGCCTCCTTGGCCGCTTTGGATATTGCAATATACCCAACCTCCATTGTAAAGTCTATTACAGTGCTTTGCTTGGAGCTCTTCTAGCTTACTGCACCCCCATTGAGACAAAATACAAACCCTGATTGCGATCGATAATCATCTTTATCTATTTGGAAACTATCATCACTGTATCCTCTTATAGTGAGCTCATCTTCCCCTTTATATACCAAGAACATGTCCTTAGTCCTCTTTAGGTACCTAAGGATGTTCTTGACAACTATCCAGTGATGCTCACTTGGATCCGATTAATATCTACTACAAGTGTTTAACGCATATGAGACATCAATCCAAGTACACTATATGGCATACATGATGGATCCAGTTGCTGACGCATATGAGATCCTTTTCATTCTATCTCTCTCATCATGTGTTTTAGGACACATATCCTTAGAGAGATAGACACCATGTGACATCGGAAGAAATCCCTTTTTGGATTCTTCCATACTGAATCTCTTCAATACCTTGTCAATGTATGTACTCTAACTTAGGTCAAGCAACCTACGTGATCTATCTTGGTAGATCTTTATTCTGAGGATGTAGGCTGCTTCTCCTAAGTCCTTCATGGAGAAGCACTTGGATAACCAAGTCTTTACCGACTGCAAGTTCGGTATATCATTCCCGATCAGAAGTATGTCATTGACATACAACACAAGGAATGCCACTGCACTTCCACTCACTTTCTTGTAAACACAGGGCTCATCTTTGTTCTTGATAAAACTGAATTCTTTTACGGCTTCATAGAAACGAATGTTCTAGCTCCTAGAAGCTTGCTTAAGTCTATAAATGGATCTCTGCAACTTGCATACCTTCTCAGCTTGCCCATCAAGAATGAAACCATCGGGTTGTGTCATATACACATCCTCTTCAAGGTTTCCGTTCAGGAAAGCTATTTTGACATCCACTTGTCAAATCTCATAATGATGATATGCAGCAATCGCAAACATAATTTGGATGGATTTAATCATGGCAACCAGCGAAAACGTTTCTTCATAGTCAATACCATGAATTTGTTTGAAACTTTTGGCAACTAGTCGTACCTTATAAGTGTGCACCTTGTCATCCATGTCAGTATTGTTCTTGAAGACTCATTTGCAACTTATGGGTTTTACCCTTCAGGTGGTTCCACCAAAGACAATACTTGGTTCTGGTACATGGAGTCCATATCAGGTTTCATGGCTTCAAGCCACTTAACGGAATCTAGATCCGATATAGCGTCTTCGTAGGTTCTGGGTTCATCGTCTTGGTAGACTAGTACGTCACCATGTTGAGTCACGAGATAACCGTATCTCTCGGGCTCATGGCGTACTCTCTTAGATCTATGTAGCTCCTGTGCTACTTGAGGTGGTTCATTTTGATCCACAAGTTGTGAAGTAATCTCCTTTTGACGTTCAACCACTTCCTATGGCACATCTTCCTGTCCTGCATCTAATGTACCTTGTGGTTCTAAAACTTCATTGAGTTATACTTTTCTCCCACTAGTACTTAGAAAAAATTCCTTTCCAAGGAAGGCACTACTACGAGCAACAAAAATTTTGTGCTCTTCTGGATGGTAGAAATAGTATCATTTGGTCTCCTTAAGATACCCCACAAATATAGATTTGCAGGATTTTAGGTCCAGTTTGTTCGAAGTCAATTTCTTGACATAAGCTTCGCAACTCCAAATCCTTAGATAAGACAAATTGAGCTTTCGCTCATTCCATAATTCAAATGGAGTCTTATCTACAGACTTTAACGGCACACGGTTCAAAACGTGAGTTGCAGTCTTTAGGGTATACCCCCAAAATGATGCAGGTAGATCACTAAAACTCATCATGGACCTAACCATGTCAAGTAAGGTCTTATTCCTCCTCTCAGACACTCTATTGTGCTAGGGTGTATACGGAAGGGTAAACTGTAATATTATCCCACATTCCTTCAGGTATTCAGAAAACTCTGAGCTTAAGTATTCAACTCCTCGATCCGACCAAAGAGTCTTAATACTTTTGCCCAACATATTTTGTATTTCATTCATGAACTCTTTGAACTTATCAAAGGCTTCAGACATATATCTCATAAGGTAGACATAACCATATCTACTGAAATAATCAGTAAATGTGATAAAGTAGGAATATCCACCTATGGCTTCAACTGTTAGTGGACCACATATATCACTATGGATGATGCCTAACAGTTCAATAGCTCTTTCACTTTGTCCTGTGAAAGGCGACTTGGTCATCTTGCCTAACAAGCATGACTCGAATACCTCAAATGATTGAAAGTAAAAAAGGTCCAAAATTTCATCCCTTTGGAGTTTTGTAATGTTGGTCTTTTTAACATGACCCAATCTACAATGCCAGAGGTATGTCTGGTTTTGATCGCTATGTTTAACTGGTTTCAACATTGAGATTGTCTTTATTGTTTAAATCAAGAGCATATAACCCGTTATATAACCTTGCAATTCTAAATAGAATATCATTCAAACTAAAAGACAACGATCCATTAGAAATTTCAAAATGATACCCTATATTATCCAAAGCGGATACTTAAATAATGTTTCTAGAAATAGAAGGTACATAATAACAGTTATGTAGTTCCAGCAACAAGCCCGTAGGCAAAGATAAACAGTAAGCCCCTATAGCTAATGCAACCATATGTGCTCCATTTCCAACTCGTAGGTCCACTTCTCCCTTGGCGAGCACTCTACTCTGCCTTAGTCCTTGCACATCAATACAAATGTGAGTACCACATCCTGTGTCAATGACCCAAGATGTTGAAGGAGAGAAGT